AGATGTCAATTCCATGAACTATTGAAATAATAATCTATAGATCTAAACACTGAGCCTTTGAGCTTAGTCTGCTTAAGATATATCTATAGATATCTATATATACATCTATATATATTTATATATAGATATCTATATATATACACATATACACACACATACATATATATTTATTATCTTAAGATTGCTCTGAAAAGTTCCTTTTCCTAATATTTGTACTGCTACCCTACACCAGTAATGATGAACTGTTATTGAAAGGGCAGATAGATGTAAATGAAGGCAAAGAAGAATGAAATGAACATCTGCTTTTTTCAACTTTCTGCCAGAAATTTATAAAGGACAAAAATAACACTTTAGCCCACGAACTTTGTTTCAGCTTATGTTAAGTGTAGGAAATTTTCTTTTTCTCTTTCCAATTTGGCTATGCTTCATTGACTTGTATATTGAGTACCCGGTTGTATTTTTTTTTAAGTTGATAAGAAATTTACATGACAAAGTCTAAACAGTCAATAGGTGTATTTATCTCATAACAATTTAGACTGAGATTTAAATTCTTGATGAGCTATCCACATATATAATAATAACCAGAATCTTAACATTTCATTATTAGTAATTTGTGAAAAGATATTGATACAGCTACCTGAGTTTGCCATCTCAGGAGGAAACAAAAATACACAGAAGTCACCAGGAATAATAAAAAGCTGAAAAAAAAAAATTTATCATATCCTTTCAACTACCAGTTCATCTCAGTGAGCTAGTCAGTAAATCATTGATAGGCTACCTTCATGAGAAGAAAATAAAAATGGAAAAGTGAATGAATAAAGAAAAAGATAAAGCTGTGACATTTTATGAAGAACTGCTCATACAGGAGTTCCTTTGAATAGTGATGACTTCCTGATATGTGGTTGATGATTTTTAACCACCTTACCTCCAAAAGAAAAAAAGAAATTTACGATCAAGAAAGATTGATATAGTTAGCATATTTCTTTAGCAAGACTGCAAAGTCAAAGTGTGTGATACATACAGTCTGCGAAGGTCATTTTCTCAGATCTCAGAACCCACAACTCTTGGAACCTCTAACACTCTTCAGCATAAATTCTATTTCAGAGGAAGACTTCTGACTACTGTTGACTAGAAGATACTAAGGATAAATAAAGTTACTTGGAATATTTTTTTTCTATTACGCTGACTTTATAAGTTATGAAAAAAACCAACACCTCATATGGAATGAAAAAAAAATGTTTGGTTTCTGGTTCTTTAGGCCTTTTGTGGGGAAACCAAAGAGCATTATTTTGGTTTCTGAGGTTAAAACTATTTTATTTCCCTCAAGTACCAAGTGTTTATGGTTTGAGGGAGAAAGAGAACTGGGAAACTGGGAAAATGGAATTGCTCAAGTCTTGAGCATTTAGTTCAGCCTGCGTTCTACAACAGAATGATTATCTGCGCCCTTCTTCTAAAGTAAAAAGAAAAGAAAAGAAAGGCACATTAGTTACTGTAGAATAATTATGGACCTTTTTAATGCTTGGATGAATATTTATTTGGCATCTGGAAGTTTAAAAGAGATCTTCCTTTAAGGTGAAGCATGTTACCATTAACTATTTTGATAGTCTGTTTCAAAATTTTAAACTTGGTAATTGTGTTTAAAAAAAAAAACCCTAGGTTCAAATCCACCAGATGCTCCGCTGGAAAAGGAGAGGCACTCTCCTCCTGTACCAGTCAGATCTCATTCGATGGTACATGCTCGCACACTCAAAAAAATACAGAAATAAAAATAATTTTTTTTAAAAAGCACAACAAAACCAACAAACCTTCACATCACCAAGTTAATAGTTGACAGGTAGATTCCTACTCATAGTGGTACCACTTAACAGTTCAGTTCATTGAAATAAAGATTGGCTAGCATGTTATTGTCAAAGTAACAGCTTGCTATGTTTTACCTTCTTTAGGTTATTGGAGTGATGAGTAAAGAATACATACCAAAGGGAACCCGTTTTGGACCTCTAATAGGTGAAATCTACACTAATGATACAGTTCCTAAGAACGCAAACAGAAAATATTTTTGGCGGGTAAGTAAATTAAATTTTTCTGGACTTACTAAGAATTAAAGGGGGAAATGGAGCTTGAAGGGCTAAGTCAGCCTCCCCCACCCCCCACCCCCAGCCTGTCCTGAAAAATAGGGAGGCTCACCCACAAGTCAAGTGTTTAGGGAATTCTGAGCAAATGTGAAGAAACTGATCAGATGGGTTGCTGTGGAAACATAGCCTATGCATGGTTAATGATGAAGCTATGGACACTATGTGAATCTTAATTTTTGCAACTCATTAAAGCTTTGTGATGAAAGGAAACAGTTTGCTGCTTGCTTCAAGGGTAGGTTCATTTGCATTTCTCTGCAAGGAAGTAGTAATGAGTCACCAAGCCTTAGAATTCACCCCTTCTTGATATCTGGCTGAGTTAACTTAATTGAATTGTAGGGGTTATCATAAATGAATTGTCTTGAAAATAAGTGACATGAAAGAATGATAAGTGGATAGGGCTTAGGAAATGGAATAAGGAGGACAGAACTCGTTGTCTATAAATGAATCTTTGCTGGAAGACTGTGGGATTTGATGGCGTGTAAATTGCTTCATAGCATAAGGACAATGCTTACAAACACGTGAGATGGTAAGTTTTTCTATAACATCCAATTAACAGATCTGGCCAATACAATTTCCTTTGGAATATCAGAGTTAAAAAAAGATCTCAGAAGTGAACTAATGAGATAAAATCCTTGAGAAAGAAAAAGAAAGTTGGATTAGGAGTGAAGAGAGAAGGCCTGCTGTTTTCCTCTTCCCCAGCATATCTTTCTGGGAAATTTCCTGCACTTAGAAAACAAAGATACACTTATTAAATTTAAAAATAAAAAACCTTTATATATATAGTTGCACAAAATGTACATACATGGCTAATGGAGAACCATTATTTAAATTCTTTAAAGAAATGACTGCATGAGAGCAAGAATTCAATTATGCTTATCTTGGCCAAGATTTTTTTGCCTTTAATATGTCTTTTGTCACATATTCTAAAAGTCATGTTGAGGAATCAGTTTCTAAGGAACTCAGAAGCTGTTCCTACTAAGAAGTATAGTTTTGGGCCCAGAAACTTTGGTGTGTTTTGAAATTTATTATTTTCCAGACAAACAAAAGAAAGCTGTTACATAGTCACTAAAAAAATTGAATGTTTGAAAGTTACTCATGCTTAAAATAAATTTACATGGTTTTTAATGGTAAAAAAAAATATCAGTGGGTGTGTTTTTGCCTTTATTGCCAGTCCTCCTCAGAAGTGGACTACAGAGGTGGGTACGTTCTTGGAGTTGGAGGTCTGAACTAAAGACATCAATATGATAAGTCTCATTAATGCATGGTCATTTGGGGGAAAAAAGATGAGAAACTCCTGAGAACCTCTGCTGTCCTTGTCACAGTTGCCTGGTTCGTTAGAGATTCATAGTAACTGAAAGGCTTTCCTTAGGAGGTTCATTTGAATCAGTATTTAATATGCAAGGGATATTGTGGGAGATATCATCCCACGTTATTAAAAGCACTTTGATTCTGCTGGCAGGAATACTCACATCTGTTGTGGCTAAAAGAAAAAGTTTCATGCAAATTACACAGTCAAAGGAGAGAGAAGGGATGTTCAAGTTGAGAAACCAGTGGCATTATTTCTTGTAACTGTACTGTGAGTCAGCACGTTTTTAATCTTCTTGATAATATATGGAAATGTAGTGAGGTGATAGAGAACAGTGTTCATTTTATGCTTGCATTATTTTATTTTCTTGTGGGTGTGTGTATGTGTGACTTCATGGCATCGACATTTCTGTTTTTAAATGAGGATACAGTAAATTGTAATCTGTGGAAGGCTGACTGGAAGTAGCCTACCCATAGCTTTAGAAAGCAGCTTCCGCCGGAGCAGAGAGTGCAAGAGCGATGGAACCCCATGTTCCTGGAAGTTTGCACATCAGAGTAAACAAACTTGAAAACCCCTCTTGATAGCAGAATTCACCCAGCCTTGTTCCATTTTCTCTTAACAAAACACACCGCAAAAGCTCTCACAAGCTGCTTTGATGAAGCCACATGTATTTCCCCCTTCACAATTTACAGGAAGTTACTCTTAAAAGAAAGTGATTCTGGTGTTTACTGCCTGTGTTAAAGGGACAGAGTTCCTTTTTAATTTTTGATAATGTTTGAGTGAGATAAAGTAACAATTTCTAGACAAACATAGACAAGTGTGTCAATAGGATCAAATAGAAAACTTGCCATCTTGTTTGAACAGAGTTTCTGTTGCAGTGTCCTACTGTTAGGAGACTGCAAGAGTTTTAAAAGTTGCAGATGGTGAGGTATTGATTGTATAAGAAAATTCCTTAAGTCTAAAGAAAAGGTAATACCGCAGAGAGAAAGAAACTTTGTGGAAGGATAAGGAGTTTCTGTACAAAGTAGTTTCCATAAGAGTGTATCATTTTTCCTCTTCTTTCCTCTTTCTTTTTCACTCCATATCTTGTACATCTGTTAACCAGAAGTAGTATTACTTTAGGGCAAATTCTGAATTCTTCATTGTGCGATGCCTTTAAAGAACAACATACTTTCTTCCTGTTCTTTTCTCCCAAAGCACAGCCTATGGCTCTGTGTGTGGTGTTTTAGCCAGCCTCCACCCAGAGGAGAGGGTTCCCTATCCTATCCTTTGGCTTGAAAGAAAAGCGCAAGGCTGAACATGTTTATCGAGAGGAAAAGTGACTTCTCAGTAGACTGTCAAATTCTGGCTTCTGTCCCAGAGTTCACTTTGTTATGGCAGGTGAAGTTCACCTTTGCCCCACCCAGTGTTTCCACAAAAAGGCAAAGTTCCAAGTATTCATATGAACAAGTGTTACTTTAGGACTTGGAGGGTTGGGGGTGGAGGATGTTTGCATAGTTTAAGCCTTGGGCGGGGGTGTAGGAAACGGCAAGTACAGAGGCCATAGAAAAACTGAAAGACTCAGTTTGACGTAGTCAGTTCTAGTCTTACCCAGGTGACTCAAAGCATTAAAAGTCGGCATAATCGGAACTGTAGTTAGTATCATCGCCCATTTGCCCTTCACCGCTGTCGCAAAATAGTACTCCCTGGTGGTTTAATCCATCGGAGGCAGCACCTTAAATGAAAGTTTGTGTTTCATTCTACAATCCCCCCCACAACGATAAAACCGAAATGGAAAAGGTAATTGACCAAGTGTACCTTACCTGTAAGTGCGCTGACTTGTGCTGACTCAAGACTGCTGTGGCCAAACAGATCTGATTATGTTCTCAGTAGGCAGTGAGAGACCAGAAATGAAGCAGGGCTCTGGCTGTGTCTATTCTAAGGGATGCTGGGGAAGCTTCTCCTGGCTTTGGGCTTGGCTTTCTCTTTTACACGCCTGTCTGCTCTTTTGGACAGATCTATTCCAGGGGAGAACTTCACCACTTCATCGACGGCTTTAATGAGGAGAAAAGCAACTGGATGCGCTATGTGAATCCTGCGCGTTCTGCCCGGGAGCAAAACCTGGCTGCGTGTCAGAACGGGATGAACATCTACTTCTACACCATTAAGCCCATCCCTGCCAACCAGGAACTTCTTGTGTGGTATTGTCGGGACTTTGCAGAAAGACTCCACTACCCTTATTCCGGAGAGCTGACAATGATGAATCTCAGTAAGTGGATTACAGAACAAAACAAAAAAAAAATAAAAAAGAAAAAATGCCAGTAATGTTAGTTCTGTCCATATGAGCTAATAATATGTTGTTTAATTATACAGCTTCTTCATTTCCTAGGCCACAGTAGGTGCCTTAAACTATTGAGTAGAAAGAGAAGGAAGAATTGTTTTAAATTCCTAGTCCTGCTTATGAAACTTGATCATTAGAAAAGAAAGTAAGAGCTGCTTTTGAGAGCTTAGTACAGAAAGTTACAGGAAAAAAGATAAATTCAGTTCTAATTTGGATTAGTTTGGACATACTGCATGTGCAGATTATAGCCCCTTATTGGTGCTAATTTGCTGGTGTTTAAAATATGCATTAAATGCAACAAAATATGATGAAAATGTATGTGTATCTGGTTATTAAGTTATGTATCGTGAGGTGAAACATTGTAAGGATGCTCAGAAAAAAATCTCGTCATAATTTTTCAGATATTATCCTAAATGACAGCCTTAAAGATTTTGCATCTTTGCTTCCTTACTTATGGTAAAAACCGAATTATCTGATCTCCTAATCGGTCTTATAGTAGCCTCTTATCATTTTATCTGAACACATTCTCAGTTCCTTAGCTTTTACTTTTTCATTTGGTTAAAATTACTGTCATGACCTCTCTCTACAGATGGATATATTTCATTTCAGTCATTTGCAAGTGTTTTCTGAGTAATTGAGGAATTACTGTAAAGTTCTGAACTCTGTTGTTACCATGGCTATAAAGAAAAATCACAGAAATCCTCATGTACCTGCATTCACTAGTGTCATTTCTCAGTTACTTTATTTGAAGGTTCACTTTTTTATCTTTAAGGCACTTGGAATAAAAAACAATTTTAACATATGTTGAAATTTTAACTCAAACGTTATGACCAGTGAACAAGCCAGTTCCCTATTCTGGTTGTAATCCAACTCTGTTGTTATTTGATGCTCATCCATTCCATCAGACTTACTTGTTCTCCCTTATGATCTCAAGACTGTTGTGTATTTTCAGTGTTCTGAAAAACAGAAGCCCCAGTATCTTCTCCATCTTGTCATCTTTTCAATTTCCCGCCATTTGTTTCTGTGAAGTTTTGTGTTTGTGGGCCTGTAAGAAGATACATGCACACAGTTTACACTCCTGAGCTTTAAGGAAAAGATCTTGGAGTATTTGCTTCCAAAATGAATATGATGTGTACAATTAAGTACTGAACAAAAATATAAGTGGTGCTTATTTATTTTCCTCTCTCCTCAATACCCAAGAGTCTATGTGTCCCATACCTCATGAGGAACACCTTCAGAACGTTCAGAAATTTAAAAATCTGTTCGTGCGTGGCCTAGTGCTAAGAGTTGGTATTGAAAGGCAGGCACACCATCATATTTCATGGTACTTCTTTCATCAGGGCATATCAACGCAGTGTTTGCTGGGTGTGCTAATGTTCTTCACAGAGTAAGCTACATCCTGTGGAGGGTCTCTTTAAAGTCATTGAGCTTTAATAACTTATAGGGTTGGAGAAAGTCTTTGATTTCAAAACAAAACAGCAACCCCATTTATGGTGACCCGGTACAGTGGCTGTGCATCAACCATGATAAAACTTTGTCACTTCTTTCACCTTCTGCCAATCACATAATGTATTAAAAGCCTTGTGCTTTTATGCTCCATATATTAAAGGCTTTGCACAGTATTTTAAGTTTCAAATGCCTATTATTTGAGTTCCGAAACAACTTTTATATGTATTGTGAAATAACACCTTTGTTCCCTCTAATATCCCCTTTCCTTGATATAGAAACTTTGGTAGTCATAAAATGGTGGCTGAATATTATGTGTTACCCGTCCAATACTCGTTGTAAAAAAGAGAGTTAACAATAGCGAGTCACATTCACACTAAGCTCCTGCTGCCAATTGTGAAACCAGTTGTCTTAGGTGTGGCAACCGATGATTGAGACTCTATCAGGAAAATTTCCACTATTTCATCAGGCCTAATAGGTTGATTGTGTCTACACATGAGTTATGTTGGGTTTCCATGCTTAAAGCACAGTGGAGTTCTGAGCCAGCATTGCCGTGAAGGGTTAGCTGGTAGTGACAGTTCAATTAGCTTTGAGTAAAAGGGGTTTGAAGTAAACCGAGACAAGGAGGAATAAGTACCAGAGATCACAAATTCTGGATGACATTTTTTAAAAATAAAACAAATTGGGGGAGGGAAGGCTAAAAACTAGGAATTTCAACCCCTCCCCCTCCCAATTTTGAGGGTATTTTTTTCCTATCTATCTATCTAACCCATCTAGAAAACAGTTGACCAAATTATAGACTTCTAAATGTTAATCTGCTTTCTCAGTTTCAGTTGGAAACAGGCTTTGTTTTGCCTACTGCAGAACTTCTAGGTTCTTTCTTATAGTCTTGGGGGGTTCTTATTATAGATCGAAAATGTGAGTCGGCATAATTAAGCCATTGAGAGCCTTCAGAAGCAGTTCACTCTTGAAATGACTCCATCCGCCTACAGCCATTTAAGATTTAAGAACAAAAACAGATCTTGATTTTCTTTTTCATATTAACTCAAGCTGCTGCTGAGTGGTTGAGTTAGAAATGACACCAGCTCCACTGATTACTCAGCTGCCGTTTGAGAGCTGATTTTTTAAAAATGTACCTTTATACCATATCATACACACTCCCAAAGTGTCACCTGTACAACATGTCAGGGAAAGTAACATTCCCTTCTGGATGTTGTTTTCGAGTAAAATGTGGATCTCTTTCTTTCTGAAGGCATAAGACATAGCAAACACTTTTCTTTCTTGTGTGTGCAGACTGTGTGCCAGAACAGGATTTTATACTCTGTGTACTGGTCTTACCATTAACTTTGTTTTATTTCTATAGTCTTAACTTAATGTGATTAGTAAGACTGCATTCCTGAATATGAGGCTCAGTGCTACAAATGCACTTAGATTTTTATGCTTTATTTTGCTGAATGTTCGAACCAGTGGAATGTTGAGGCCAGTGGAGAAAATGAGGGGAGTTAACAAAGTACAGTTTGCTGACTAAAACTGTCAGAAAGTTATGCATGAAACTCTTGTCCTGTATTGGGAGCTTGTGTGTAGGGCACCTCCAAGTCACTTGGGTTTTGCCTTCATGAAATTCCTTCCTGTGGCTGTGAGATGCCTTGCCTATCAGTTTTCCAGCTTCATTGTCTCTCTCTTCCTTTACCATTTTAGCTTTAAAAAACAAAAGTGACAATTTGAACTTCCTGCCTGCTGGGCCTCACTGAAAGACTGATATTGGCCTGATAAGGTGATATTTATTTTGGTTTAGCGGCCTCAGAAATCCCTCTCCCTTAGCAATCTTTCCATCAGTGCCCCCAATCAGCATCTTCCTGGATAATGCCATTCCCCATGTTTATTCTGGGGCTGCTGGCTCTCTGAGGAGTAACTGATAACAGCTAGCAGGAGATAACATTCTCTGAGGAGCTCTCAAACTGGAATCGAATCCCTCAAGCCTGTCAGCTCAGAGAATGGATTTGAAGAGCTCAGAATCTGGAGTTCCACATAGTTAATTTCTAGACCTATCAGATATCAAGCTGTGAGTTCCCTCTCAGTTAAACCAAGCCAAAGACATGTTAAGAGGATGAATGACACTTGATAAAAACATCACATTGTGTTGAGGACCCACCTTTGATTAATGCCAAGCATTCTGCTACCTCTAGGCTCCACAGACACCAGCTTTCTGATTTGACTGACTGCTTGCCAATAGCCAGAGCTCAAACTCAGCAACATGTGTTTTACTTTTGATTTCCAGGGAATGCTGAGCAGGGAGTTTTTGGTTTTCCCAGCACTTACTGGTGTTTTCCTGAAGGCATCTTCATTCACAAAAGATACGCCTTTGCTCTGTGTGTTTAGGGTGGGGGCAGGGAACGGGCAGTCAGGAACTGTTCCTCCTCATTGCTGCTGTTACTAAATAGTATATTTACCAAGTAATCATATACCTTCTTTTGGAGTAAATGCTTTCATCTCAGCTGCCTCTGTTTTCTTTGGTGCTCTAAGTAATTGAACTGGCTCGGGAAGTGCCTGTTGTGGTTTGGCAGGGGTGACTGTGTCACGCCTTATGATTCCAGGGGACAGCCTTGCTGGGAGCCTGGTTATACCAGACCAAGCTTTGGAGAGAATCTTAGTTGTCAGCAAATGAAGGGTAAGGGGTGGCATCCACCTTGCTCATCTGCCTCTCAGGCATAGGCAGTTTGAACAGGATTTGGGTTTTTTTCTTCTTTTTTATCAAATTCATATTAAATAAGAATCAAGGTGAAAACTGATGACTGCTTAGTACTTGAAATGAATGTTAATCTTTCACATCTAGTTCACGGTGCGTGCTACATCTAGTTCACGGTGCGTGCTGATTTCCTTTAGGTAAGCTGTGAACATCAGAATGACTTTATATTAACTTCTGACACCCCCTGCTCCCCACCCCAGTATTATTTCCACCCCATTTTGATGGAAACTGTCTGTTCAAGCTTGAGCAGCACTTTTCTATCACAAAATTTTCACTGATGGAAACAAAAATGGTTGAGACAGTGTGATTCATTGGATAGATGCTGCCATTGCACCACCATGCAGAGGAGAAAGGGGAGCAGAGGTTCCAATGGTGGCGTGGAGACTTGAGAAGCAGAAGGCATGACGGGAGCCAGGTGTTGACCTTGTGTGGCCAGCTGCGGCTCATGGTTTCAGAGAGAGTAGTTCTGGCAGTCTCACTTCAGTTCTCTCTGTCCCTCTGAGTAATTATTCTCTTCTTTGTTTCAGCACAAACACAGAACAGCTCAAAGCAGCAGACCACTGAGAAAAGTGAACTTTGCCCAAAGAGTGCCCCAAAGAGAGAATACAGTGTGAAAGAGATCCTGAAATCGGACTCCAACCCCTCCAAAGGAAGGGACTTATACCGTTCCAACATTTCACCCCTCACTTCAGAAAAGGACATGGATGATTTCAGGAAAAATGGGAGCCCTGAAATGCCCCTATATCCTCGGGTGGTGTACCCAATCCGCACACATCTACCAGAAGACTTTTTTAAAACAACGCTGGCCTATGGGATGGAGAGACCAACTTACATTACTCACTCTCCTATTCCGTCCTCTACAACTCCAAGTCCCTCAGCAAGAAGCAGCCCAGACCAAAGCCTGAAAAGTACCAGTCCTCACAGTAGCCCTGGGAATACCGTGTCACCCCTGACTCCTGGTTCTCAAGATCATCGAGACTCCTACTCCTACTTGAATACACCCTATGGCGCCGAGGGCTTGGGCTCTTACCCGGGATACGCACCTCCTCCCCACCTCCCACCAGCTTTCATCCCCTCATACAATGCTCACTACCCCAAGTTCCTTTTACCCCCATATGGCATGAATTGTAACAGCCTGAGTGCTGTGAATAACATAAATGGCATCAACAACTTCGGTTTCTTCCCGAGGCTGTATCCTGTCTACAGTAACCTCCTGAGTGGTGGCAATGTGCCTCATCCCATGCTCAACCCTGCTTCTCTTCCAAGCTCACTACCCTCAGAAGGAGCCCGGAGGTTGCTTCAGCCAGAACATCCCAGAGACGTGCTTGTCCCCACGCCCCACAGTGCCTTTTCCCTCACAGGGGCTGCCGCCAGCATGAAGGACAAGGTGTGCAGCCCCACAAGTGGATCTCCCACCGCGGGCACAGCCGCCACGTCAGAGCACGTGGTACAACCCAAAGCTACCTCAGCAGCAATGGCAGCCCCCAGCAGTGATGAAGCCATGAATCTCATTAAGAGCAAAAGAAGCATGACTGGCTATAAGACACTTCCCTACCCACTGAAGAAGCAGAATGGCAAGATTAAGTATGAATGCAATGTTTGTGCTAAGACTTTTGGCCAGCTCTCAAATCTGAAGGTAGGCCTCAAGGGCTCTCAGCTCCTTTACTTGTGTCTCTCTCTCCCCCCCTCTTTTTCTGTCTCTGTGTATATGTATATGTTCTCTCAGATGTGTCTAGCTCACTTTCCACAAGTCATAAATTGCATTATCAGCAGTATAAGACCCCGTGGATGTAGGTTCTACTCTTGCCAATTCTAGCTGAATGGCTTTGGACAAGTTACTGCCCCTCTCCTGTGTTTCCTCTGAATAAAAAAATGTATAGATTATGTGAACTAACAGCTCAGTTTAGAGACCCTGCTAAATGGGATGTCCATGAGTCAAAATCACATAAGTTAAAACTAGTTTAGTAGTTTTGTTGTTGCTACTTTTGCTCAGATGAAAACAAAGCATTCTGAAAATACCAGTACTTTGTTTGCACTTTGACTTTGTCTTGCTTGGTGCTTTTCCTAAGTTGCCCGAGTCCTGATTGCCTGAGTGAGGGGACACGTCAGGTCTCTGAGCTGGTTGGACAGTGGAGCTAACTTCTGCCCCTTCTTCCCAGGTCCACCTCCGAGTGCACAGTGGAGAACGGCCTTTCAAGTGTCAGACTTGCAACAAGGGCTTCACTCAGCTTGCCCACCTGCAGAAACACTACCTGGTCCACACGGGAGAAAAGCCACACGAATGCCAGGTGGGCAGTACCTTCTAGGTGAAACCATGGGCCTTTGTAGAACATGTCTCTGCGGCTGTTCTCTCCTGTCACACAGCCCGTAGTTCAGAACACAGGGAATTCTGCTTTGCTCTGGGCTAAGGGCATTGTGGACCCCTCCCTGTGCTCTGTCCCTGCCGACAAGCTGAAATGATGACACAGGCAGCTTCCAGTGGGTGGAAAATGGTAGGGGAAATAAACACCACCTCATGTGTACTATGTCTGCATCGCCCTGTTTGCTTAATACCACACTGTAGGTGCTACAGGCTCCTCGCCGCCCAGGTTGCTGGGTGTTTGTTTTTAAGCTTGCCCCTCCCATTGGCAACTTTTAATCTTCTGGTCTTCCTGTCTCCCTTCTTTGCCTTCTTCCCCACACTGTAGGTTTGCCACAAACGATTTAGTAGTACCAGCAATCTCAAGACCCACTTGCGCCTCCACTCAGGAGAGAAACCTTACCAGTGCAAGGTGTGCCCTGCCAAGTTCACCCAGTTTGTGCACCTGAAACTCCACAAGCGCCTACACACCCGGGAGCGGCCCCACAAGTGTGCCCAGTGCCACAAGAGCTACATCCACCTCTGCAGTCTTAAGGTCCACCTGAAGGGAAACTGCCCTGTGACACCAGCCGCCGGGCTACCCATGGAGGACCTGACTCGCATCAATGAAGAGATCGAGAAGTTTGATATCAGTGACAATGCTGACCGGCTTGAGGACATGGAAGATAACGTTGATGTAATCTCTATGGTGGAGAAAGAAATTCTGGCCATGGTCAGAAAAGAGAAGGAAGACACTGGTCTCAAAGTTTCTTTGCAAAGAAACATGGAGAATGGACTTCTCTCCTCAGGGTGTAACTTTTATGAGTCATCATCGGACCCGGCCCTCATGAAGTTGCCTCACAGTCACCCACTACCTCTGGTACCTGTAAAGGTCAAACAAGAAACAGTTGAAGCAATGGATCCTTAAGATTTTCAGAAAATACAAAGTATTTTGTTTTTTAACTTATGACTTGGCAAGTCAGGGTGCCTGTAGCAGATGGCTTATACGTAATTCCAGTTTTGGAAAGCTCTCCTGACAGCAAACGTGAGGGAAAACGTCACCTCTCTGGAATTAAAGAAGGAACTCCAAAGTTACTGAAATCTCAGGGCATAAATGAGGCAAAGACTATTATATATAAATATATAAATATGCTTATTATATATACTTATTTACACACATCTATATATTTGAACCTGTGTATTTTGACTATTTGTGTGGATATGTTTGCATAGCTTTTCCATAAGTATGACTATTACCTAGCCATAATTATTTTTTCCATGGTAATACTTCATAATTTATTATACAATTTATCGTTCAGAAAGCAATAATTAAAAAAAGTTTACAATGACTGGAAAAAATTCCTTGTAATTTGAGTATAAATGTTATATTTTTGTCTTGTGGCCATTCTTTGTAGATAATTTCTGCACATCTGCTTAAGAACCTAAGATTTAAGAAAACAAACCCATTACTTCCCTCAGTTATCTTCCCTCTATGATATCTGAAATGAGGTTTTAGTATTGCCGAAGTTAAAGTTGATGTGTTAATTCATAGGATCATATTGTTTGAATGGCATTTTATAACTTGGGGGTATGTGTGCAGAATTACCCAATGATAATTTGAGTAGGAGAAGCAAGTAAAGGAATCTTGTATGCTTCTGGAGATCATTCTGGTTTTTCTTCCCTGCACACTTTTACCCAGAAAGGTGTCAGGAGGATTTTGCCAACCTGCCTCTCTCTGTAATGAGCAGGGTCTCCCCTCACCCCAAAGTCATGTAACCATTCAGAGTGCCCACATGACTTTTGCATCCCAAGGTATTATCTGAAAATGTGAATTAAGACGAAATGCCATGTTTAAAACCACTGAGAAACTTTCCCAAAGCACAGATGGTTTTGTATGTATGAGATTTGGGGTTTTGAGTCTGGATGTTGTGTTTGTTGTTGATTATTTTATGTTAAAATTGCACAAACATGGTGCTCTACCAGGAAGGAATTTGAAGTAGATAGGCTCAGGCCACACTTTAAAAACAAAAACAGAAAAACGGGTATTCTCGTTGTCTTAGGGTAAACAAAAGCGGGTAATGAACATTCCTATCCCCAGTTCATCAATTTTATATTGTTCTGTAAAACAGTCCTCAGTATTTGTGTTTTTACATTTATGGTTAATTTAATTGAAGATGAAAGAGCATTGCAAAGTTGTTCAACAGTTACCTCATTGAATATGTCCAGTAGTGCAAGAAATGGTGTCTTATCCAGTAATTTGCTGCCCTAGAAAAGAAACTCAAATGTACACCAAAAAGATGGAATGTTTTGTTTTCCTAAACCCAAAGATTACATGTTGGCATTCAAGGTGTAGCAAAGAATGATGTATATTTATAAATCTATTTATACCACTATACCATGTGTGTGTGTGTGTATATATATATTTATAACCACTTCAGTTGTGAGCCACATCATGTAAAAGAACCTATTTTTCCCAAGGACAAAACACAAACAAACAAAAAACCACCCCAAACACCACTTTTCTGAGACTTCTTAATGACCTCAGAAATCACAGTATTGTTCTTGACCTTGATCTAGATGTTGATGAAAAGGTGAAGATCCCATAACAACCAGGGAGAAAGAGAGAAGCGAAACAATTTTCTTTATTAAGGACAATCTAAATCAGTGTTCATTTTGCTTTGCCATGCTGTGATTATTTGGTCACACCCAGAGTCACAGAAATAAAAATCCTGTTAATTTACTGTTTGCCACTCTAATTTCTCCCTCCTACATATTGAGTGACATATCACGAAACAATCCATTTTATATGTTCTTAAGTTTTGCTCAGGGCAATTAATGTCAACCTGCAGAATACAACAAATACAGGGTAATCTGAGAAAACCCAAGGGCCTTGCTGATCTGTTCCTTTAAATTCAGCAAGACTAGCAAATTATGTATTAGTAATTGACAAACATAGTTCTCAAATGTAGGTAAACCAAAGCATCACTACCCTAACATTATCGCAAATACTTTCCTCTTGTGCTTTCTTATATTTACCAATTTTTACAAAGATATGCACGGTGGCTTTAGATGTCCTGCTTCTCTTTTGTCTGACTTTCCCTCTTAGGCCTTTTACATGTTGAGCCCACAATCAGTAGTGGTTTTGTTTTTTGTGTTTTTTTTCCCTTCTACTCAAAACTGACCAAAGTTACTGGCTTTTTACTTTGCTAGAACAACAAACTATCTTATGTTTACATGCTGGTTTACATTGTTATTTATGAGCAAATTGTCAAAATGTAAATTAAATATAAATGTTCATGCTTTACCAATGCTTGTCTGGTGTGTTGAATAAGGGGCCAGTGAGTTTCATTTTCTCCATACTTGGTACAGGGGCCTTGCAGGACTCTGGGAAGATAAAGAGTTCCATTCATGACATCACTGTTTGGTTCTGTGTTTCCTTTAGTGTTCATAGGATTTTCAAAGGCCTGTTATTTAAGAAATGGATGGACAGTCATGCTTCCTAGTCTGTCTGAATCTGGGAGCTCTACTAAAACCTGTCCACCATGGGTAACCCTTATGGCATTTAACACACTAGTGGCCTGGCCTTCAGTATCACAGCAACTCACAAGTTAGTACAGCAAATTGAGTGGCAAGTACTGTGCCAATTAGAACAATGTTCTTAAACACAATAAACTGCCAATTTGTAACTTTAATAGCAAATCAGTTTTCACACCAGGCCTGAGGGCCAAATTTTTGTTGTTCAGTAGCACACCAAATAGGATAAGGACTTTTAAGCTTTTCATAGTCTGTGCGCTATATCCAATGATAATATTTTTCTTTCACATCTTATTTTGGGAAGTAGATTTATTTCTGCCCATTTAAAACAAATGCCTAGAAAGCTTTTAACAGAGTCTGGGCATTGTTTGTATCAAATCCAAGGATCATGGTGGGATGGTCACATAGCCAAGGTGGGAATGAGCCCACTGGCTTGCCCAGTGATGTTCTAGAAACCAAAAGGTGTACAGAATAAAATGGCAGAATTAAATTTGAGTTGCAGTTAGTAAATACGCATAATCACTACTAGAAAAGTGGTAATACCTTCAATAAAAAAGTACCACAACCTTTGCAAATGGTATTAATACTCCATTACCACATTCATGATTCCATAGTACATTACTTCTTTTAAAAAGTCCTTTGAACACTCAGAGATGCCTGATTTCTTTTTAATGCCTCTTTGTTAAGTTCATTTACGTATCTGTACCAAGAATTTGCATTGATACTAACAAGTGACTGGAGTTAGTAGAACCCTATTATCCTAAATGTGCTGAATGGTTCTGGTTGCCCTCCTAAATTCTATAGGACCATTGTAGTAATAATTTTTAAAACAAAACCCAGTAAGATTTAGAGAGTAACAAGTAATGATGCTAAATCATAGTTTTTCTATTTGGTAAAGAATTTGAGAGAAATCTTGGAAGCACTTGTAGGCTTAGCTGTTAAAGAAATACTACATGAAAAAATACTGTTTCACTAAGCACCCAAGTCCTGTAGGCCAAAGTTCATACTGTTGGACTGAGGTTTGGACAGCTGTTTGTTAGACGAGAATAATGAAGACTATTTTTTACTGAGTCTGTCTTCAACACAAGGCCCTAGGTAAAGATGATATCTTTTATTTCCCATAGGGCAATAGAAATGCAACATTTCTAGGTGTTTTCCTCCCCCCTCCTTGGGGAAATGAATGAATTTAGGTTTCATAAATAGGTATGATGGAGTACTAGGGTACTAGGGAGTTGACTACAACTCATATGTTGTTATACAGCATTAAGTCAGAATCAACTGAAATCTGACCCTCTAGCAGGTTTTCACAGGCAGTAAATTGCACAGAGGAAGGGATCCATCTTTCTTCTGCAAAGCAGCTGGTGGATTTGAATGGCCTATCTTTGGGTTGGCAGTACAACTCCTTAACACTCAGTGCCAGAGCTCGAAATTTACAAATAGCCTAGGAACAGTAGTTGGAATCTTGCCCTGTCTGTGCCATCTTCATGATCTCCAGTATCTTGAGCTCATTGCCAGTCACTGTGTCAAGCCATCTCATTGATTGTCTCCCTCTCTTTCCCAGGATAACTTTTTCCAAGGAGTGACAACTACTGATAGCATGCTCAGTATATGAGACAAAATTTCCACCATCTTTACCTCTAAGAAGCACCTAGGTTGTACTTAGAAGAGCTCTAGTGGTGTAATTCATAGGGAGTTAACACTGCTAACCCAAAGTGGCACCACTCTGGAGGTTCTAATCCACCAGTAGTTCCATGGGAGAAAGATAGGCTATCTCCTCCTGTGCAATTTACAGCCTCCTAAAACTAATAAAGCTTCGTCTCACACATTTTGGACATGTTTCTAAGGGAGGCTATTTCTTGGAGAGGGACATGATGATTGGAAAGGTAGAGGGACAGCAAAGGAAAGGAAGACCCTTAACCAGGTGGATTGACACAGTGACTGCAGCAATGGGCTTGAGTGTCACAGAGACTGAGGATGGCACAGGATAGGACATGGTTCAGAACTGTTGTTCATAGGGTTGCTATGAGTCATACTCAACAGCACTTAACAAGAACAAAATCTACTGGAGGGTCAGCTGTGAATTGGTTCCAGCTCAATGACAATGAATAAGTTGATACGTTGTTAGTCAAGTATGACTCAGTAACTTTATGGACTTCAGATCTGAACCATGTCCTATTCAATGACATCCTCACAATCTCTAGCACACTGAAGCCTATTCCTGCAGTCACTGTGTGAGTCCACCTGGTAGAGGGTCCTTTCACCATCCCTTCACCTTTCCAAACATAATGTCCCTCTCCAAGGAATATCATCTCCTAGTAACATGCCCAAAGTATTAGAGATGAAGCTTTATCATCCTTGCCTCCAAGGAGGATTCTGGCTGCCCCTTCTGCAAGAAATACCTGTTTGTTCTTTTAGCAGTCTATTGGATATTCATTACTCTTCTCCAACCCAGAGTTCAAAGGCATCAATTCTTCTTCTGTCATTCTTTAGTTATTGTCCAGCTCTCAGAAGCATAGCAAGTGATTGAAAAGACCATTGCCTGAATCATGCACACCTTAGTCTTCAAATTGACATCATTGTTCCTCAATAATTTGGAAAGGTCCCAGATTTCCCCAATGCAATATATCACTTTATTTCCTGGCTGCTGGTACCAAGTATATTGATTATGGATCTAAGCAAGGTGAAGTAATTGACAATTTCAATCTTTTCTCCATCTGTTATGATATTGCCCATTAGTCCAATAGTTAGAATTTTTGTTTCCTTGACATTGAGATGCAATCTGTACTGAAGGCTGTGGTGTTTGATCTTTTGCAGCAAGCATTTCAAGGCCTCATTTTCAGCAAGCAAGGGTATGTCATACCCAAAACATAGATTATTGATGAGTCTTCCTCCAATTCTTCTTCATAAAATCCAGCTTCTTGAATAATTTGCCCATCAAACAGATTAAATAGGCATGGAGGAAACCCTGGTGGCCTGGTGGTAAGAAGCTATGCTGCAATCTCAAAAGCATGTATTTAAAATCCACCAATTTCTCCACAAAAGGATGAACAATCCCCTCCTATGCTATTTACTGCCTCTGAAAACCCACTGGAGGGTCACATATAAATTGGTTTTGACTCAAAGGCACAGTGACAACAGCATACTTATTTCTCTTTAGGATATCTGAAGATTCCATCTT